TGGAAAGATTGGATCGATCTTCTTACAGCGAACAATCCGTCACGTAAAGGAGTGCTTAGTAGTTTTCATTCTCAGTATTATTTACAACTTTCTCTAGACAAACTTCGGTCCTATGTTGTGTAATTATTGTCGATATATTTTGCCACCAGGGAGGATCATGCTGCATATACAACGTATCCATGCATACTCTGGGTATGATCAAGCAGCTGAATTTTCTCCGCAATATTATGGAATGAGGTCCTCGCCTATGAAAATGGTGGCACCTCAATTTGCTCCTGTTCCACTGCGGTGGGATCCTCGTCCAAGTTCGATTTCATGACGTTGATAATGCAGCTCGCGCGAATGTTGAAAGATCAACTTGAGTTTTATTTGAGCCGCTATAAACACTGGACAAATGTACTAAGGTTAAGTAACTTGACCTTTATAACTGTTTACCTTGGTAAAAGCTCAAATGTTAACACAGCATTAGAATACTGTACGTAATTTAAATATTTTATGAAACTTTAGAGTCTACAGAAACTGGCAGCGTCACGCAACGTATCAAGAAATCGTGACCTCTTCACTAGCATGGACTTCGACACTATGCATATCTGACTGTAAAACCTCGGTTGCTGCTGAAAATGTTGATTTTAGCAATAGACAAAGGTTGAAAGTCAGCCAGTGAAATCATTTATTTACGGTATACCTATATTAAAGTGAGAGCGTCGAACGTACTCTCATAATCTCTGATTACTTCTAGTTATACATTCTTTGGTTTGTAGTGCTATGCGTGTAATACGATAAAATCTAAATGGTGATGATGAAGAAGACAGTCAACGGCCTCTGTAGGCCGTGCTACAAAAAAAGTTGCTCGTATGTAATAACTGAAGTCGCATTTCGATTGAAACATGAACATACTAATTCAAATTATCTTAAAGCGAATGATACACGGTTCAACATCGTTCAACTTTTGCTGATCAACAAATGTTGAACATTGTAGCGACTTGTTGAAACGTTGTTACAACTTGTTGAATAGTCATTCATTCCAACTTTTGTTGAGCAACAACTACTCACTATGGCCCGAAGTTGAAATGGCGGACGAGGATATGTTGCTGTCGCTTTGTGCTTCGAGCGTTATCGCCGTTATTATGAAGCGTCGACAAAAAAGACATAAAAGCCGCAAAATTTGGACGCGTCGAATGGTTAAGAAATAGAACCATATTCGGAGCATACTCCACCCTGTTGGCAGAACTCACTGAGAAATTTGGACATTTCAAGCTACAGAAATTTTCTGCATATGGATGTCACGTCCTTCGATCTGATATCGTACAGGCACGGAAAAGTATCGTACAGACGCTGAATACGATTAATACGTGACATTATGCTGTTGGTGATTGCGTTACAATTTTAGCCGTTTTATAATGCATCAGTCAATTCCAGC